AGAAATAAAACCTAGGTTCTCGAAATCTTAATCCAGGGCTTATTTCTACTACATCATTCTTAATGGTTTATTCATAAATTAGACCCATTTGAAGCAGTCAGAAATTCCAGAGAAACTGGAATAGTTAGAGGAAGATCTGAGATCTAAGTCTAAAAAGCCCTAAAAGGACAGTAGACATACCGTGCATCATGTCTTGGGGACAAAGTCTATGAACATCTCTAAAGGAAGAGAAAACTAAATGTGTTATCTTCCTGCAGAAATGATTTCAAAATGTATACCCCTGAAAAAATGACATAATTTCGTCAATAAAAAATTTTACTCTCTGGGCCGGCCCGGTGGCGCACTTGGTAGAGTGCGGCGCTTGGGAGTGCGGCGGCACTCCCACCGAGGGTTCGGATCCCATATAGAGACCGGTCCGCTCACTGGTTGAACGCGGTGCGGGCGCGACACCAAGGGTTGCGATCCCGTTGCCGGTCGCGGTACGGGCGCGACACTGAGGGTTGCGATCCCATTACCAGTCACGAAAAAAGATAAAAAGGAAAATAAAAATTTTACTCTCAAAATTATTTTTAGAAGAAAAAAGTGACTTCGAACACTATTATAAAATACACCTTTCCAATTACTACTAAGATAACTAAAAACACTGCATGAAAAAAACTGCTCTAAAATATTAAAATAAACCACTTCTACCTAACTGATTCAGGTAGATTTGTGTGAATTTGGGTGGGTGGGTAGGATTATCAAGGAGAACTTCATCTATACGATTTGAGTTATTTATATACACACATATATATTTGTGTTTTCCTGATACAATTTAGAATGACTGATAAATAGTAAAGTCATTCATGGCAATTTAGAAGATGGTATCTGAAGTTCCTTTCACATCTAAAAATGCCAGCATTCCATAATAACCTGGGCTAAAATGACTGAGTGACACCCACATACACAGTCTTTCCAGCATTCAAAATCAAAGTCTTCTTCCTCATGCAACAGGAGCACCATGACAAAGCTGAGTAATCAAATATTTTTGTTGACGTCTTTTTTAAATGTTAACAGATAAAATTATAAACAAGATGACTGAATAATTTACAAATTCAGGCCTGAACAAAATATTCCTAAACTACAGTTAATGAATGAGCTCAGGGCTATGAATCCTTGAACTAGAAGAACATTTGTGCCAGCATGCTTTTTTCTTTTCTTGTTTTCAGGAAAAAGTGTTTAAGGCTTTCATCAAAGTCTTTAAGCATACCTATGGCCTTCAAAAGGTAAAGAAATACAATGCATTTTTTTCTATTTAATATAACAAACATGACCATTTAATGAGGAAACAATACTACCTATATAATAAATTTTATGTTCTTACATCAACAGTAATAAATAACTTCCCCAATGGCGGTAAATACTTGGTTGTTTCTGCTTTAATATATTAGGTCTAAATAGAATTCTTCTACAAATAAAATAAAATTAAAATGCAGTGTTGGTTTTTGCCTGGTCTGAGTGGACTTCCTAAGGAGAAAGAGCAGTAAAAGGGCACCTGTGTGCATGTTTGACTCACAGCCAAAAATGGTGTTTATGGAAAACTTCAGATGGAGCAAAGAGGCACTCAGCCAACAAAATCTACAGCTGTGAGACTTGGAGCTTAAAAGTGCCCAATCTCCAAAAGCAAAAGTGGAATTATGGGACAGACTTTGAAGCTTGTTTATGTGCAAATTTTTGTAGTGGGGGACTTTGTATTCTACTATTCAGATATATATTCTCTAATCAACACTAAAAATATTGTCTAACACCAAAGAAAACAGTGAAAGGGAATCCCACCCAAGTGTTGATATTCACATTTTTCTTTCCCACAATTACTTGTAAACAAAACTCACGGTGGCTAGGATAGGAAATTTAAATTCTATACCCAATGACTTGCAACTTTTCTCCCAGCCTAACCCCTGAGAGATAACAACCTGCTCCACTGGTTAACATGGGTTCTAAGAACACTGCAGTTCCTGGCTGGAGAGAAACTGGAGAGGCTGCAGCATATCAGAATCTCTTTGAAAAAGCACCTAATGAGGTCTGAATATACCTCATATCCCTATAGCCCTCGTGCTCAGCCGTCTGCTGGTATACACCCTGAGGCTACCTGAAATCTCTGGGGAAGGTAACCTGTAGGGAAATAGGTAGGCTTGAAAGAGACTGGAAAAAGACTAGGCATCTTTGAAAGAAAGCTAAGCACATTATATAAGAAAGAACATAGAGACCAGAGATAAAGTTTTAAAGCTGGGAGATGATCTATGTACTTAAGCAGGACATTGCACTCCAAGTAAAGGTTTTGTTGTTATCAAGTACAATGTAGTACATTTGTGGACTATATACTAGATTACTTCAGCCAGAAAGAAAATCAAATACCTTTAGGGACAGAGAATTGGATTTAATAAAGAATCATTTACCAGGTCTTAGCACCATGCTTAATCATTGTAATTCTGAATTAAAAGAAAAAAATCAATAAGCAGGTATCTAGCACTTATGTTCATTCATAGAAGAGATGTTTTAGAGCCAACTCCAATTATCTTAGTGTGAAGTATCTAAAAAAGAAATTTAAAACTCTGGGTAGATGAGAAGGCCCATGGGTTTTAGGGTAAAGATGGCATATCGTCTGTGCCAGTATCAGCGTTGTGCCAGTGAAGGAATCCAGGAAATACCCTCCCCCCAAAAAATATGCCCCTTTAGTATGCTGATTACTTCAAACTGAGAGAACCTGGGGACAAGTTCAGGGAAGGGACTTTTTTGAGGTCCTCTTACCTGAAAGAACTCATTTGTCCCTTACTGGAATCTAATCAACCAGGGAAGATTAACCACAGGAAAAGTCTAAAGGTTGGTACCTCACCCAGACAGACTTTGACACAGGCTACCACCTATTCTTCTGACAGCTTCTCTCAAGATAACTTTTATTACCTAAAAGATTTTATCTACATAACAACACAACCTTTGTCTCCATAGCTTGGTGATACCTTCCCCCAGAAGACCCAAGCCTGTATTCCAACACTTTAAAAACTTCAATCATCTGGCCCTTCAAGTCTCATATTTTGAGACTCCCATGTGTATACACATAATTAAAATACTTTTTCTCCTGTTGATCTGTCTACTGTCGGTTTATTTTATAGATTCAATTACTGAAACTTCAGAGGGTACAGAGAAAGTCCTCTCTCCCTCCTACACCAGCTAACCTGGCAACCACAACCAGAAATGAATTTAAATGCTCAGGCTATTATAATGGGAGTGCTATGCTCCTGGATGGACATTCCAAAGCCGATCTACAATATCCATGCAATCAGCAGTTAGAAATCACTATATAGAGACGATAACAGACTTTCAAATTATAAAAACCCAGAAAACTTCACTTAAGACATTTTTTTCTTTTCTTTTTTTTTCAGCCGCTGGCCTATACAGGGATCCGAACTCTTGACCTTGGTGTTATAATACCATGCTCCAACCAACTGAGCTATCCAGTCAGCCAAAGACATTTTTCTCTTAATTGAGGATCATTCTGCCAAACCATTTTTGTCTCAATACATTCTGAAATGGGGTATATTATGGAAAGAGGCTTCTAAGCTTAGAAAAGTCCTTTACTATCTTACTTACTATAATGTCTATTCAAGACACATGGCAGATACACTCAACTACTTCTGCTTTCTGGAAGGCAATGTTAGACTACACTTGCTCTAGTATTTTCATTGTTGTTTTGCTTTTTTCCCCAATCAGCTAGCTGGTAGTTGACATAAAGTATAATTCCTACCAGTGTATGCAGGGAATGAGCATCATACCACAAGTCTTTCTTTTATGTTTTTACCTTCCCTAGTTCTGAAGGGAAAATTTTCCAATACTGTGTCTAAACTTGTATTGAAATGTTTGGCATTAATAAAACAAAGAAGAAATTAATATATTTTTTAAATTGTGGGGGGAGGCAGAGAAATCTACAAAGGCGGATTTCACTTTCTAAGTAGCATTATATTGGTCTACATTAATAATTTTCCCAGCAGGCCTTCCATGATTTTACTCTGAACAATCACAGTCTTTGTTTCTCAGATCCTCTTACATGTGACATTTGATCAAAGTTTAAAATCGGCAGCTAACGGAAGAGGAGAAAAGCACTACTAACCAAGGCATTACACAAAGCCATACCACAGCTCATTTCAAGTTTGCTACAAGCTAGATCGCAGACATTTTCCAGCTAAACACTTACTCAGTGTTGAGTTAAATTTTCTGTACCCTAAATACTATATTTTACTGTACTTCATCATACTTATCAGGGAAATATCCTCTAAACATCATTAAAGCAAGCCTTACAAAAATTATTCAGTTCTTTCCCACAGGTGTGTTTTTTAAAGAAAAGTACAAGGTACGAAACAATTAATTTTATTCCTAGTCAAAGTCTTTGTACAGAGCCTTTAAAAGAAAAAAGGCTGTTTCCTTGTTTAAAAAAATTTTTTTTTCAGGTAACTAAATTAACTATATTACTAGTTCTGGAATTAGTGATAGTCATTCTATAAGATGGGATATAAAAAAAACTAGGAAAATTATTCATTAATTTATGCCTAAAAGTCCTTATCCAAATAAACCTTCCCCAAAGAAATGGTGGGAAAAGAAGATTAGTAAAGGAAATATCTCACACTCCAACATGCTATATAAGGAAAGACGGCTGAAAGGAAATCTTGCAGGGAATTTTATCCCTTTGAACTTTCAAATAAACTCTTAAGTAAGATTATGCAAACTTACTAAAGACCGGTCCTGATTAGAGGGAAAAAATGTACCCCTTCTCCAAGTCAGTTCTGGAGGCTTTCTACAGAGTTGTTAAGGTTTGTGTTGGGTAAAGAAAGACCTCCTAACAAACCAGCATTCTTTTCCACATGATCAGAGCTAATTGGCCCCCCTGCAGACTAAGTGACCAATCACATCAGCTTCAGCTGAAACCAGCCCCCACGACATTATAAACAGAGGAATGTAAGCTGTAAAGCCAGACCAAGAAGAGAATCTACAAACTAGACTTGTAGGTTAAAATTACCTGATCAAAAAGGCAGACTCTGCGAGTTTCCTTAAGACCTACCTTGCATATAGGCTGACCCAGCAAAAGAATTGGTGAGTACATGAAATAATATTCATTCTTATTTCTTCCTTAAGGGAAACAGGGAAAGAAACTGACTGGCATATAGGGACAGAGCTAGATTACTTGCAATAGGTTTTCAAAACAAAGACATTACCTATAGGGTCATACATTAAGATTCTTTATTCTTTTTCCTTAAATTTTAAAAAATGGAATTATAGCCCTACTGAAAGCATTACTGAAAATTTTCTTCTTAACTGTTTAATTAAATGTATACTAATTCTCCATTGTAATATTATAGGAGAGCAGAGGAGAGAGACCCTTGAAAAATTGAGTGGCTTTTTTTTTTTAATGTGCCTTCTTCTTTTAGAAGGGATTAAAGAAACCCAAAACGAATGTATAGAAACAAATGCCAAAAGAATAAATTACTGTTTTTATTGTTTTAACCCATGAAAAAAGTAACGAGTATCCTAATTTTAAATTTCTTCTTAAGCAAGAAATTACTGAAATTAGTAGATGCTTCTGCAAATAAGAAATTAAAATGTGAAAAAATCTCTGAGCTTATATAATAGGGTTAGAACTCACATTGTTTGCCCTAATTATGAAGGACAGGACAGATGATTATAAGACTCTCAACATTTAAAATGTTTATACCAGACATGATCAAATTCATAATAATACTGTATTCATTTAACAATTGCAGGGGGCTGGCCGTGGCTTACTTGGGAGAGTGTGGTGCTGATAACATCAAGGTCAAGGGTTCTGACCCCCGTACCAGCCACCCGCCAAAAGAAAAGCATTTACTAATTGTAGTTATAGCCTATATCTTAACTGTCTAATATGAACTACACTAGTACTTTACAACAAAGCAACAGAAAAGACATAATTTTAAGTCCTACATCCTAATGAGTAGTATAAATCCATTATTTTGGCGACCAATGAAGCTGCCAAACTATCATTTTTATAAAGAGTACTATTTTTTCCACCAAACAACTTATAAATGGGCAAATATTTTACAGCCCACCCACAGATACAAACACCTTTCCAATCTTCCATTTTACTTTATTGGGATCAGTTGATGAGAATCACATAAAATACAAACCAAGACAAATACATTCAAAAAGCACTTGTGTGCCTATGGGGATTTGAAAATATAATAGTATAAACATAATGCATGCCCAAGAGACACTTTTAAATTTGATGAGAAAAAATCCTTCATATATCAGACAACAATAATATAATTTTTTAAAAACCATCTATGCAGACGTAAAATCATTTTTAAAAAGAAAGAAATCATACGGGACACCTGTATCAGTCGAAAAAATTGAAAACAAACATACAAACTTGTAGAGTTTTAAGGGATCATATTATTTAATTCCCTCTTTTTTTCCCTTTCTCTGTTTTAATAAAGATGCCTGGCCAAAAGGACCGGGTGGCTTGTCCAAAATGACACAGCTACTTTAACCAACAGAGCCCAAGCTTCATGACCATATCCCCCATCCTACGTTCTTTATACTAAAGTACACTGACTACATGAGTCCGAAGAATAGTTATTGAGGGCAACCTGATCAAAATCTCACTTCTTTCAACTACTCTACTTCCCAACATTATACAAACCAGATCCAGCAAAGTCTTTTTTTTAAATTTACTTCTCAATATACTTTGTAGTTGATTTTTCACACCCTTTTACCCATTCCTCTCCACCCCAGCAAAGTCTTATGTAAAATAAAGATATTGCTTCACTGTTTTGTTACCAGCCTTTTGACTTCTCTATTCACAGGTTTTTCTATGTACAGTATTTAGTTGCAAGGAAAGGGGAAAAAATGAAATTGTAAAGACCCTATAGTAAGAGTGCTTCAAAAGCTGGAGGTAACAAGTAACAATCCTGAAAAGGCCTAAATGAGAATAATTAATTTCTTTAGCTATAGTATATAGAGACTACCTATCTCTCCAGCTAATGAATTTTAGAAAGTTCATAAATAAGGTAGGTTGAAAATCAAGAAGAATCTTGGAGCTTCTTCCTCCTCAAGCTTTTGTAAAACACTAAGCACTTAGCAGCATTCACCAGGATGGTGGCTCCACAAATGGAACAAATACGAGTGTCCAAGCCCATGAGGGGCATTTTCATGCAAAAAGAAACAAGGACAACAAAGCTGTTCACACTCCTTTATGAAAGCAGCCAACTGTTCTTTTATTGTTACAGCCTTCTTCTTCCTCCTCCTCTTCGAGTGACAAAATCTTTTCTTTTACAATATTATGATGGCAGGTTTATATTTTTTAATTATCTTCTCATTTGGCAAAATATAAATTTGGCAATGCTAAATAAGAACTCTCCTCCCCACATTGTTTTAATTTTACTGGCCTGCAGAATACAACTAGACAATCTCTTAAGGCTGATTGTACTAATCTTCAATCTTGAAAGAAGTCTTCCTTAACTGAAAATCTCTTACCTGCAAATCATAGGTCTAAACCTAATAAGCATTCCTGAAGAACAAATATTCCATAGTAGCTCTTAAACAAAACCAGTCAAATAGAACAAATTCCGTAGTAGCTCTTAAACAAAACTAGTCAAATGGAACAAAGTGTTATTCACAGAGGCTAACCAGGGTCAAATGTCTGTTTATTAGGCAGTATAGCACTGACTGGACTTGGAATACATGAGATTCATACCCCCTACTTACTACCTCATCGTGCCTCAGTTTCGTTATATGTAAAATTGTAATAATAATGGTACTTATTACTGTGAAAGTTAAGAAACATTATTAACAATAAAGCAACTAATACTTACTGAGAGCTTACTCTGTGCTAGGCATTGCCTATTGGCTTCACATGTGAAGTATTTGGTATGATTCCTGGCACATAATAAACAATATATTTTGGCTAATGCTATTAATCATTACTGGCATGAGAATAACATACTAAGTTAACAATGGTTTAAAATATGTATTTGAGACAGTTATGGGGGAAAGAAGAGCATCTTCTAAAGATGCTAAAAATCTGGCTGTCAAAGAATGCAATACCAATCATCTTGGGAAAGATTTTTATTTTACCAAGTTCTGAATAGACAACTTCTTGTAATAAAAAAAAAAAAATTAACTGGCTTTGAAATTAGCCAGACCTGGATAATAATCCAAAGACCCCATTTGCACTATGTAAATTCCTTTTATTTGTCTGAGCCTCAGTAACCTCATCTGAAAACTGGGGATAATAATGTCTATCTTGTTGAGATTTTAAAGAATTAGAATTAGTATAAAAGTACTTAGCTCAGTGTCTAGGAAGATGATGATGTTATTTCCAAAAGGGCAGAGATTAGGTCTCCTAAAACACTTAAAGAATCCAGCAAAATAAGGGTCATTAAAGAGCTATACGAAGAAAAAAAAAAATACATTAAATGGTTATGACAACTTGTTAGGGTAATAAGTTATAAAACATTAATGCTCAAAGATTTTTTTAAAGATTATAACATGAAAATAGGGCCAGCCCATGGCTCACCTGGGAAGCGTGGTGCTGACAACACCAAGTCAAGGGTTTAGATCCCCTTATTGGTCATCCTTTTTTTTTTTTTTTTTTTTTTTAAGAAAAAAAGACTATAACATGAAAATGAAATGGCCATTTAATCTAAAGAAATTGAACAATCATCCCAATGTTCCATCAGTAGCTCAAATTTGAAGGAAAAACAAGAGCATGTCTCTAGTATCACCAATAAATGTTAAATTAGCCTCAGTACAAAAGGAGAAATTGTATATACCCAGCTGGTCAACATCCAATTCCAACAACACAGAAAGGCAGTCTCCAAAGCCCCAAAGTCCCTAGACATAGACATAGAAAGGATCTAGCAAACCCAAACAGCAACTAGCTCTACATGTCTCTAGTGCCCTTCTTAAGCGTCACTCTAAAGGCAGGAAGGGGGTATGCAACACTCCCAAGGGTATCTACTTCTGAATGAGGAAGCAAAAGGAAGAGTCAAATATAAACTCCTGGTAGTGGACTGTGGCAAAGAAGAGAGGAGCACACAGGAGAAGAAAAGCCACATTTCCCATTCTGTTCCTGGTGGCCTCTACACAAATGCCTTAAGACACCTTTGTTATATGAAAGGATGGTCACAAGGAGGGAACACATTAGATTTCTACTCACCACACACAGAAAAGCATAACCACTGATGAAAACTATTTACAACAGAAAACTAATTTTACTATGTTTTTTAAATTGCTGTTTGATCCCTCAATTATTATAGTTTATTAAACTTTTGAAGCTGTTTCTTCTGGTTTACTTACTTTCAAAGCTAATGTTACCTACCTACAAAAGTCTACCTGGAATTTTTATTTTGCAAAGAAAATAATTCTCTCTCCACCCCACTATCTAATCAGAGCCTAGAATATTCAAAAAGACAGCAATATATCAGCCAGGGCAGAAAGAATCCATGAATATAGCCACTAAGTGACAAAGTCTAATCATGAAACTCAGATTTCTATTTATTTAAGTATATAAGAACACTTATACATGTAAACTTATTCCTTTTAATTATGAATTATTCATAGTCTTCAATTAAAAGCTTATAAAAAGCTGTTACTTGCACACAATATTTGGTCAAATTAATAAATATTGATGCCTGGACTTGTACAAGGAAGATACAGGTGTGAATCACAACCCCCACCTTCAGGAATACTTAAAATATACTTGGAAAGTTTTAAATGTCAAACAATATTTTAATAGACATTCAAGGAAACAATGAGAAATATCCTAAGCTAGCACATGATTAGCTAAAAACAGTCTTAGTCAATAAATGTCCCCTTGTGTAAAGAAAAAGAAGAGAGAGCTGGGAAAGCCTGCTCAAGTTGCAGTCTGAGAAGCAGTCCCAAGAAAACAAAGTGAGAGAGGCTTCAAAATTCATGAATATTAACTGTAAAACAGTTAAGAGCTTACTAATTTATGCTTGTTTTCAGAAAATTACAGCCTACGATGGACAGAAGTAATTGCAAAGTTATTGCTCCTCTCCTAAGTCAGAGATACCGGAGGATGGTCACCAAGGATGGCCACAGCACACTTCAAATGGATGGTGCTCAAAGAGGTCTTGCATATCTTCGAGATGCCTGGGGAATCCTAATGGACATGCGCTGGCGTTGGATGATGTTGGTTTTTTCTGCTTCTTTTGTTGTCCACTGGCTTGTCTTTGCGGTGCTCTGGTATGTCCTAGCTGAGATGAATGGTGACCTGGAACTAGATCATGATGCCCCACCTGAAAACCACACTATCTGTGTCAAGTACATCACCAGTTTTACAGCTGCATTCTCCTTCTCCCTGGAGACACAACTCACAATTGGTTATGGTACCATGTTCCCCAGTGGTGACTGTCCAAGTGCAATCGCCTTACTTGCCATACAAATGCTCCTAGGCCTCATGCTAGAGGCTTTTATCACAGGTAATTGTCTTTGTTCTTTTAAAAAAAAAAAAAACACAAAAAAACTACCAGTGTCTTGGAAAGGGTATAGTCAGTTATAAGTAATTCTGTTATAGAATAATTTATTAGTATTAATAACAGGTAATGCCTAAGATAGAAAAAAAACAGCCTAGGGCCAAACAATAAGAGAAATGTACAAGGGTACTTGAAAAAGTTCATGGAAAAACAGAATTAAAAGATAATATGAATCTTTCCATGAACTTTTTGAAGTATTCTGGTATAAGAAACCTGACTCGATACTTAAAATTTATTTATTGGAAGTACTTTTAAAAAAAGAAGCAGGGCCAACCCTTGGCTCACTTGGGAGAGTGTGGTGCTAATAACACCAAGGCCACAAGTTCGGATCCCTATATAGGGATGGCCGGTTAGCTCACTTGGAAGAGTGTGGTGCTAACAACACCAAGTAAAGGGTTAAGATCCCCTTACTGGTCATCTTTAAAAAAAAGGGGGGGGGGGTCATTATGACACTTACTTGCAGGAACATCCTGTGCCAAAAAAATATATTAACAAACGGTCTAAAAGGAGTTTTTCACAGAAACTAACCATTTTGTTAAACAAGTGAGTAAATATGTTCAATGCATATTTTGACAGTCACTTTACCTTACAGATGAATTTGAGTTTTTCTCTTCTTCACTGGGCTAGAATTTTCTCTTCTGAGTTCATCTTTTCAACATTTACTCAATACCAGTGAGCTCATAGTACCAGCTAGCATTATATGTTAGAGAAAAGTTACATAAATACATCCCTAGCAAAATGCACTGGAAATATGGCCACAAAGATTAAGAGATTTTGCTTATAAACCTGGTAACATATACAATTCTTTCCTCTAATAAAATAGGGCTGGAGTCCTTTCTATGTGACATATACAATTTTTTTAAAAAGAAAGGAAAACCTGGCTTTAGCATACTATCCAGTAATGATCTGAGAAGGTAAGCACTGAGCTATATGAAGGCCAATCTGGAATGAAGTCCCAGTGTGCTACCAACCAGCTCTATAATCTGTAACAAATCACTTTACTTTTATAAGAGCCTTATAGTGGTTCAGTACTTGGATAAATTTTAGGGGATCTGTGAACTTACATAATAAAAACTTAAATCTTTTTGTACTAACCCCTAATTGAAATTTGGCACTTCCATCAATTATGAATGTAGGCAACAAAAAAACAATGACATCAGCAGTACCAGTAACTCTGACACAAACAGAAATCACGATATTTTCATATCAAACTACAATACTTCAAAATCAGTGTTAAACCCACCAGATTTTATAATTTAATGCATTAATAAAGCACATATAGTATATTATAATTTTTTCAATGTTCAACTGAATTTCAATATATTTGGTTTCCTTTGTATGTATGGTATTTTTAAGCACTTAAAACATAATTGTGATAGGTTCTGTGGCACCAAAGTGGTTAAGAAACCCTCATATACAGCTTGGAGCACAAGGAGGGTGTTGAAAGGTATACTGAAATCATTTCATAGTCAAGAGTCTTCCCTCCAATAGAAGCTGAATAAGTTTCAAAGTTAAAAAATTCTTCAATGTACCACTCATTATACTGGTCCCTCCCTACCCCATACTGCTGTACTCTGAAGCTAGTCTCTACTTCAACTTTAAGTAATCTGGTGGTAAGCAAACCGCATTTATTTTCTATTACATTTTTTTATGGGGCAGAAATACAGGAAATGACCAATTGTTTGACTTGGTATGAAATTAGAAGATAAAGTTTTACATTTCTATACAACAAAATCAATTTTTCTCATCAATTTTGAAATCATGGTTTTTAGATAGAAATGTATGTATACTCTGAAAAATTCTTTAGACAAATGAGACCACCTAAATTAACAATGAATTCAATTCCTGATTCATTTCAAGAAATGTGTAACTATTTAATATACCCCTCTCATTGAAAAGGTATTGATATTTAAAGCCTTCATTTTTTAAAAAATTCAATGGTTTCTAATCTAGGTGCCTTTGTGGCGAAGATTGCCCGGCCAAAAAATCGAGCTTTCTCAATTCGCTTTACTGACTTAGCAGTAGTAGCTCACATAGATGGCAAACCTAATCTTATCTTCCAAGTGGCCAACACCCGACCTAGCCCTCTAACCAGTGTCCGGGTCTCAGCTGTCCTCTATCAGGAAAGAGAAAACGGCGAACTCTACCAGACCAGTGTGGATTTCCACCTTGATGGCATCAGCTCTGAGGAATGTCCATTCTTTATCTTTCCACTAACATACTATCACTCCATTACACCATCGAGTCCTCTGGCTACTCTGCTCCAGCACGAAAAGCCTCCCCACTTTGAATTAGTTGTATTCCTTTCAGCAATGCAGGAAGGCACTGGAGAAATATGCCAAAGGAGGACGTCCTACCTACCCTCCGAGATCATGTTACATCACTGTTTTGCATCTCTGCTGACGCGAGGTTCCAAAGGTGAATATCAAATCAAGATTGAGAATTTTGACAAGACTGTCCCTGAACTTGCAATTCCTCTGGTCTCCAAGAGCCCAAACAGGACTGACCTGGATATCCGTATCAATGGACAAAGCATTGATAATTTTCAGATCTCTGAAACAGGACTGACAGAATAAGACTTATCCATGGCACCCTATTTTTTAATATATTAAATACACCCAGCCAGTTATGCAGCTACTTTCTCTTCATTGTATCTCATGTTTTCTTTTTTCAATGCTGATTACATTTCTCTGATTACATCATGATAATCATGCCTATGCCCACAAAAAAATGGCTACGCTAACAATACACATTCCAGAAACATAACAATCTACCTTACAAAGTTTGTATCTGTGGTTATCTGCTGAAATCAACAGAACTCAACTCAACTTGACAGATACTTATACAGAAATGTTGCTGGTGAATTAATAAGGATATGGTATATAATACCAGTAATGAAGGTAAAATGGACAGTGAAGCTTAACACAACAGAACTCCAAGAAAATCAACCATAAATCTCTCACTTTCATCTGCAAATCAAAGGAACAGTCTAGTTTCAAACCTAGCTCCCTGGGTGGAATGATGATTTCACAATGTTTAGCGATCATCCTTTTGAAACTGTTGTTTTTTTCAAGACAGCAAAGATCATCCTTTGGTTCTTTATACTACAAAACCAGGGTAAGTATCACTCCCTTATTTTTTAACAACTAGGAACAAAAATTCACACACCAAAAAAAAAAAAACCCAACAAAGTACAGATTTATACACAACCCTATTTGAATATGACACCCAAACACATGCATGCATATATGTTCATATATTTGTGGCAGAAAGTGATTACAGCAAACAAGATAAGCTCCAGTCCAAATGGATCCTGCAGTGTGGTATTTTTGCCAAGGAAATACAAAATTATACCTACTTTAAAACTACCCTACATAATAAGCAAATAGCGATTTAAAAACTATAATCACCCATTCATCTGAATGGGTTCCAACCTGAATAAAAACATTCTCTACTGACCTATGATTCATTTGATGGTATGAGAAACCATGACAGGTCTAAATAACTAATAAACACAAATATACATGTAAGTTTTTATAGATATAAAGGTTTAGTTAAACAAAACTTGACTTGACTAGGGAAAAAATCTCCAATAGATAAAGCAAAAAATAATTAGGCAACAAAGTATTTTCAACCCCAAATTCCTGTTTCCAACTTCAAATAGTTTTTTCTATAAACACAAAATGAGTGTTTATTCACCAGTAGGAGGTTGGACTAGATAAACTCTATTATTTTTTCCAAAATCTAATACTCCATGAAAATTATGCTTTCTCTGCTTCATTTTTTTATTTTATACATACTAAGGCAAACCCTTTCTCTTACATCCAGTTAAAACAATCCTTTACATAATTTTTATTTCAGTCAAAAAATGAAACTGTCCTCAAACAAAACAAAACCAAAAAAGTCACCCTATCAGGTTTCAAAAAGATTTGTGGCTGCTTTTCTATTCTGAAATTTCCCTTATTCAGGTTGGTGTGGGAAAAGTGAAAGATTAACCTTCCCCATTGGTGATGATCCAGGCAGGAATCATCTCTTGAAATAAAAAACTAGCTGAGTACAGGCAAGCAGTTGTGAAGAGCAGGGCACAGCAGCAAGCCACATTTTTCTACTCTTTGACCAAAAGGAAAAGAAAATAAAGAACAACTCTGGAGTGGTCTAAGACTGATAATAGCAGAAGAATATCAAGAATACAGAAAATTATTGTAAACTTTTGCTGTTTGAAAATCTTAGGCATTCATTCTTAAGTAGTAACCAGACCATCGATTTTTTTCCAACCCAAGACTACTGTAACACATAAAGACAGCAAGAATTCTTATTTCTATAATAAATTAATAAGATTCACCTAACCTGTGAAAATAAAGTAGTATCAAAGACTTACATGGTATGTTTTTTCCTAAGAGTGCTACATCACTAACATAGATGACAATTTCAACAGTTAACTGAAGCTGCCCAAGATGACACAAATAAGTGAGATCTGGGATCTAAGTCTCCCTTATAGATGCGGCATGTTCTCCAAGTCACATGCGTCTCATATTATACTTACTGTTTATACATAAACTGGGCATTTGAAAACAAAATGTGGTTTCTCCCACACACACCCCCAAAATCCCTATATTGGTAAACCAATGTTGTTTAACTAAACAAATATTTTACAAACAGCTAAGAAATGTGATCAAAAACTTTAGGGGATAGAAAGCTTCTGGTAGCACCGTTCATGATTTTTTCACATATTTCATAGAATCAATTTCCAGGTTAAACATTAAGTTATCCACAGAGAGACCACCATCCTCTCAGGAAAATAAATAGAAAGAGGGGGGAAATTACTGGGTGGTAGGAATGGCAGCTCTACCTTCCTGGATGTACAGCTCACTAACCTGGACCACATGAGAGCTCAGTCACGGTGCCTCAGAGACAAGATCAGGAAGACCACTTTGGTACTAACTTAAAAAGTACTTTTGGAAACCAATACAGATAGCATGACAGTTCCAACAAACTGGAGACCAGTTACCAAAAATCTTAAGTACCTAGTTTATCTGTGTACAAGCCCATATTATCAACTTCCACAAACAGTCTATAATCAAAAATTGCTATGTCTAAGTATTTCACACCAAAATGCACTAATTAGTATAAAATGGGGCTAAGCCTATTGGTATTATCTGCATTAATTTTTATTTTTCAATGACCTTTTAATTTCATCCCCACAGAATCATACTACAAGATGATCACCAGAACTGGTCTCTCCCTATGCAGCAATCAATTTCTATTAAATAAGAATTATAATCCCAGGACTTTTCCACCTCCACATTCTCCCATGAGTGTTCACAGGAGTTGCGCATGATTCTTACCCAGATGTCTGTAATTCCACGCACTTCTCTTCACATAAAAAGCAAATACATGATATGAACCATCTCTAATTTTTAAAAGAGCAAATCATTTTGGAACCTTCAGTATTTAAATTAATTTAATGTCACAGGACATCTCACAATTGATCAAGACACTAGTGCATCCCAACAAACTAGTTTAGTGCCGTTATTCTTGGAAAGCATATAATTATGAACAATATTTTTTTAATCTCCATTATTTTAAACAAGTGGATTGCTTTCAAAAAGAGAAAATCCAGAATAAAAGCCACCATGACATATTAGAATATGTGTGTGTGTGTGTGTCTGTGTGTGTGTGGAAAGGATTGCTGTGATATTTTAGTACACTAGAAGTAGTTAGTACATTAACCTCCTTAATATTCTTAGACACTTCATAGCAATTTAGCTTTATGCAATTCGCCTTTTCAAAGATATACCTAAGGGGTGCAAAGAAAATAAGCTTTACTCAATAGAAGGTGGTTAGAGAAATTACCCTAATTGGATTAACATTGTTAAATATGAGAACTGCAAATAACGATGAAAAAGAACTTTATGCTCATCTATTCCAAACCACCAAAGTATTAATACATGTCAAAAAGTTAAAATCAAGCTATTCTCATTCAGGGAATTTACTACTTTACCAGAGCAACCTGTCATTTACAGACAACTCTAATTATTAGATCTTTTTAAGATTGTATCAAATACCTGCCTCCTTGAATCATCCATAGCTCAGCCCCTTTCTGCCCTTTAGACTCATACAGATCAAGTCTTATTCCTCTTTCACATGATCGTTAAGCAAGTATTCGCAGACAGTGATGCTATACCCATGCACTCCACTCTGTCCTATCTAGTTTAGTCTCCTATCTATACCACCCCATTTCCCTCACGCAGTCACCATCGCAAGGTTTCCAATGCTGCAGTCCTCCTACTCCAATGTACAGACCCTTTCAAGGTGTGACCCCAGAAGTGAACACAATGCTCAGGCTGTCCTGTGACCACAGAAAAGACAATGGGACTCTCTATCACCTGACTCACTGAGGACACTTTAGTTCTAATAAATACTGCTCACAGCTGTGAGGATACTATAAGGCTGCTGATTAACATGAAGCACACAGTCTGCTGAGAGGGCTGTGCCTTTCCCCATGAGCTGCTGTTGCACACAGCTACTCCACATTTTAACTTCCATAATTTATTTATGTAAGACTTGGCATTTGCTGCTGTTAAATTTCCATCTGATTTAATTTGGTCTCTTGTTCCACCTTAATTCTCATCCCAAGTCCTAACTGTTCCACTCCAGAGTTATCCCTCTTAACACTGAATGATATGAAAGTCTGATCAGCACACCAACAGCATCCTCCACCAACAATGTCCTCCAAAGAAAAGGAATATTTATTTAGCACCAAGCACAAGGCCTAGCATATAAGTAGGAATTCAATATTTGCTGAATGAATAAATGAGTTGATATGCTCTTATTTAATCCTAAAAATTCTGTAAGGTCTTATCCCATTTTATTGTAAGAATAACATATCTAAGAACTCAGAATACCAAATATCTTCTGATTCCAAATCCTGTATTCTTTAAACTGCCCCCCTTCTCCCTGTCACCTCTCCATATTTACTGGCAAAACTACTGAATCAGACAAGGATAGGTGATGAGGTCTTGACAAGTCCCCCAAGAGAACAGTCATCCAATAATCTATAATATGGGTAAAACAAACAATAAATTATCTCCCCGGTCTGTTCCAAATTTCTTCATACTACACTCATTTAATGGCTTTTCGTTAATGTAAATACAACTGAGTATTCACAATGCCATGTTAACAAATGAGGAATTCAAATCACTGATATGTTTAAATGAGTTTTATATGGAAACAGTGAAGCATATACTCATACACTTATGAGTTTTTAAAACAATCGGTCTGTGGGCCAAGCCCGTGGCACACTCGGGAGAGTGCGGTGCTGGGAGCGCAGCAGCGCTCCCGCCGTGGGTTCAGATCCTATATAGGGATGACCGGTGCACTCACAGCGCTCACTGGCTGAGCGCGGTGCGGCCGGTCTCAAAAAGGACAAAAAAAAAAAAAAAAAAAAAAAAAAAAAAGGT